AAAAATAGTTATAGGCACAATGTCTTCAAATCAAACCGGACTTTTATTTTGACGGGTTGCCGTGAATACCTTTACAGCTCTGTGTATGAGATATGACACTAGTTTTACTCAAATCAAATGCTAAAATGCTCATGAAGTGACTCTCAGAGCAGTTCTGGAGATGTTGTTCATGTGTTTACGTCCTCATTTAGTGAGACGCAGACGCTGAAATCACAGCGCGCTTCAGTATGTGTGTAGTAACTGCACGTTAAACTGTGAATTCTGTTTTTATGACTGGATAAAGACTACACTGCGTAATTTTCCCGCTTATCATGTGGCCACTTGCCTGATGTGAACATAAAATATCTTACATACCACCACTTGTGAACGAGCCAGTGTAATGCAAATATATCTGAAAGGTCTGCGCGAGGATATCGTCACGTTCTCGCGAGACTAGTCATATCTCGCGAGACACATCGGATCTCGTCACACCCCTAATATATATATTTTCTCAATTTACTCACCCTCAAGTCATTCCATATTATTTTCAAGCTTGTTTTACTTTCTTTTAAATGGAATACATTTACATTTTCATTTGCACTCTGATGGAGAACACAAAGCAAATGAGCAAAGTACACTGGAGAGTTGTATCAGGAGTGAACAGCAATCTCAGTCTGTTTCTCACACAAACTATCATATGACTTGAAAAGGATGGAAATATAGTGCATAAGTCATATGAACTAGTTTTGGAACACTTCAATTTTTGAAGCTTGAAAATACACAACAGAACCTTGAACATTCTGCATAAGAACTCCTTTTGCGTAACCAGGGACATTATAGTTAACTAAAACCATATAAATCAATTTTTATTACTTGAACTAAAATAAAATAAAATTAAATAGCTTTTATTTCAGCTAGCTGCCAATGCAACATTTCTCATTTCCATTTAGTTTAACCTGATGTACTAAGATAACCAAAAAAATAAAAATGAAATAAAAATGAATAAAAACTACAATAATAATATAAAAAAAAAGTTTAATTTTAATTTTAAAATGAAAATTAAAATGGAAAATTTAAAAAATTATAATTAGTTCAAAATGTTATAGGTTTTACATATTAAATTATTATTATTATTTTTTTAAACTAGTATCTCATTGATCTTAAAATAACAATGTAATCTGAGCTGGAATGACATTCTTGGGTGATCTATTCCTGTAAGTCTCGTGAGCTATGATGGAGCAATCGCTGAGCAATAAAACTGTCCTCGCTAGAAGCGTTGGAACAAAAGCAGATCTTTTAACAATGTCTAAACTCTGCCTTGAGCTAGACCTCCAGGACGGTACAAGTAATGTTCCTCCATGTGCACTGGGTCACGTCCCTCATGGTGAGAAACAATAAATACGAGCGATATGAGGGAATTCTATTTCCCCTATTGCCTAAGCTCTCTGCTTGGCTGTACTCGAGATAAGAATAAACTGTTTATAAGCCATGAGAGCTTGATGTATCAAAAGCATAATTAAATGCTCTGACAGAATACGAGCCATGGCAACCCAAACAAATTGAGCTCCCAGTCCACCGCCATCCCCTGGTGAAAGTGTGCCTGTAGAGGAACAGAGAGCTGACGGGAACGTAATTAAAGATTCCAGCCATCCAGCTCACCGCAGGGAACAACAGATATATCATAACGTGTGCTGCCTGCTTTGTTTACCTCTGTCTCTGGCTACAGATGCATAATGCAAACTGCTGGCCTCGCTGGAGACAACGTCTTCATCTTTTCTTTGGCAGAATTTTGCCTTTCTCTAAATCTCTGGCTCTCTCTCGCTTCACGGCACTGATGTCAGCAGAATTGATGTCATTATGGTCGCCCTCGCCTGGTGCAGTGTGTGTTCAGAATGTAGACTGCCAACTGATTCTCTGACTTCACATGAGGTTTATTGCAACTTTCCACAAGAAATTAATTATATCACATACTCATGCATACATCAGCTAAATGGGGACACACTACTTCTGTTGTTTTATATAAAGCCAATTATAAACACTACAGAACTTTGATATAGACAGACAGACAGACAGACAGACACACAGACAGACAATTTTCACTGGTATTGGTACCGAATACTGAAATTTTGGTACCGTGACAACACTAATAGATAGATAAATAGATTATTAAATTAATACTTTAATTAAGCAGATATGCAAAAATATGAAGCAGCACAACTGTTTTCAACATAGGTAATAATGAAAATTGTTTATTGAGCAGCAAATCAGCATATTAGAATGATTTCTGAAGGATCATGTGACACTGAAGACTGGAGCAATGATGCTGAAAATTCAGCTTTGATCACAGAAATAAATGACATTTTAAATTATACTGAAACAGAACATTATTATTTTAAATTGTAATAATATTTCCCAATATTGCAGCCTTGGTGAGCATAAGATACTCCTTTCATTTAACATTTGACCAGTAGTGTAAAATAAATAAATAAATATGGTTATAAATTTAATATAAACTACTGTTCAAATGTTTGGGGTCTGTAAGATTTTTGTTTTTTTATTGATTTTTTTTTGTTTTTTGTTTTTTTACTTTGAGAATAGACTTTTTGCCAGATCTCGCTAACTTCTGTTGACAGTTTTGTCTTTAAAATATAGTCTATATTTGTGTGTATAAGTGTAAAATATGTATGTATCAAACCTACATGCGCATACACTCGCATATGGTGCATGCTGATTTGAAACAGAAACACAGTCTTATTCACACCTCAGGATGATCGGTTCTGTATATTAGCATCAACCTCCCCTATAACACCTGAGGTCAAACTTCCTCTCATGTCTGATTCATCAGACGGCCGCCCTGCCAGATGACCACTGACCCTGGATGTGTCACACAAGACAGGCATCACAGATTCTCAGTCACACAAGGCTCTTTGTGCCTGCTATAGCATGCTGGCCTCCTGCAATATTTACCGTGTTGACTTTCGTGTGTTCTTCAGGCAGTGCAAAGCAATCTGCTGCCAAGGTTTCTGCCCTCGCTCTACCTCACCAAAACACAGGACACTGAGGTTTCTGAGCATTTTCATGTAATCTGCCAATCAGAGATGTATAAATCACACTAGTTCAATCCCAGCATCCTTCTTAATTCCAACTCTTCCCATTTTTCCCCGTAAATGACATCCACTTTGAGTTTGAGTCAAGTCTATTGCTCCATAATGGACTGACAATTTGCATGAACATTTTGATTGGATAATTTATATTTCATCTTAAGAAACAAGTGCCTAGACAAATCTAATGTAAACAGAAGTTCATGCATGATAAAAAAAAAAAAAAGCTCATGCATGATGCAAAACATTTCTAGTCATGACAACAAAAGCTTCAGTCTGATGCCGTATAAATACTTCATTACAATCTCATGATTTAATCATAAAAATTTTAAATTGGAACTTAAAAGCAATCCACAAACTCAAAAACAGAAGCATGTGATTAAAATGAGTATTTGTATGTGAACAAAACCCAATGCAACGGGATCAAAGCCGCAGAGACAACCACATTAGCCTCTTTGTAAGAACTGAATCTTCTGAGACTGAACCTGCTTAACCCATTAAGGCCCTAAACATACTATATATGTGCAAGTATGGCATATTAACGCAAACGCTTCTATAGCTACTGTTGACAAGCACAATTTGCATTTTGTTTCACGTTTTAAAGTACAAGTGCATTCTCAGCTATGCCACAAAGAGTGCTACATATAGTAAGCACTGGCATTAAAATATCTTCATTTTTCTCTTATATTTTTCTGTATTTTTCTAAGTACTGTCAGGGTGGAACAATACGATCTTGCTGAGCAAGTTACAGTTAGTTTATAGTTGTTTTATAGTATGTTTATAGTTAGCTAGCTGAATACTAACACTAACGATACACTAATAATAACATTAATGTATGATAAACAATCATATTTGAAGGTAACTATCGCCTCCTTGAGTAATTGGGTTTGATACCGCTACATGCAATAACATGAAATAACACTGTTTTGCTACTTTTTCTCTTTATCTTTATTCTCTAGTTAGTATTCTAGTAAATTTTAAACCTTCCTCTCTATTATAAATGTATATAAAAACACCAAAAACAAACAAACAGGGAAATTGTCTCCTTATACCTACAGAACTTCATAAAAAGTAAATAAAATAAGTAAATACAATTATATATATATATATATATATAAACAGTAACATTTTACATTAAGGTTCCATTAGTTAACGTTTGTTCATGTATTAACTAACATGAACAAACAATGAACAATACA